TTAAGGTATCCAGGTACATCACGTTGACGGAGCTCCCCGTATCGATGTAAGTGCGGTGGATGATGGAGTCACCGATCTCACACCGGATGACGAGGGCATCCCTGTGTGATCCCGTACCCGGAGGCAAATCCTTGTCGGTGAAGGTGATCGCCTCCGTTCGCTGCTTCTTCGGCTGGGGGGGAACGTGGGACACCTCCCCAATGTAGAGGGATTGGGCCCATTTCTTCCTCTGAGTGGCGGAGTCCCCCCCAGTGTTCCCACCTACGATAAGGTGAATGTGATTCTTCTTTGGTGGGGGCTCCTCGAAGTCTTCGTCGTCGCTGAGCCTACCAATCTCCCGCTTCTTCGCAGAGGGTTCGCCCCCATGTTTGCCGGTGTTTACCCATGTATTTTTGTGTGGGCCACCTTTAACAAACTGGGAGAGTTCCCCCTGGCGAATAAGGCGCTCGATGGCCTTCTTCAGTGTGATGCAATCGTCGGTGTTGTGCGACGAGTTCTTGTGGAACCGGCAGTATGTGCCGCCCTGCTGGATGGCAAGGATCTCCTCGGCCGGCCGAGGAGCCTACTCGATGAGGCCGTGCTTCTCGGCATAATCGAGGATGGTGCCGACCGGGTGAGTGAGGGAGACCCCCGGCCGTTCCAACCTTGGCCGCCAGTGGCGATCTTTCTTACTCTGACCACCAGAGCCGTGACGGCCCTGGGCACCCTGGCCGGCCGGGGACGGACCCGGGGCCGACAAAGGATTTGTCTTCTTGGAGGGATGGCCCCCTCTCTTGTTATTGTGGAGCTCGTCGGCGTACAAGCCTCCGCGCTGGAGCGCCTTAGCGTACGACCTCGGAGGGTCGGTGATAAGGCTCCTGGCGTACGGGGAGCTGCGGAGGGCTCCCTGGTACAAGGCGAGGAGGGTGCGCTCATCGGCCCCCTCGACCTCCTCGGTTTCCCTCGTCCACCGATCAATGAATGACCGGAGGGACTCCTCGTGCTGCTGCTTGACGGAGAGGAGGTGGGTGAAATACTTCTTCGCACGCTTCCTCCCGGCAAAGTGAGTGAGGAAGCGTTGGGCAAGATCCTGCCATGAGTCGATGCTCCCTTCGGGGAGCGCATTGAACCACTCGTACGCTGCCCCCTCGAGAGTAGAGAGGAACCAACGGCAGAGGTATTCGTCGGACGCGTTCACCATCAGCATGTTGTTCTGATAGCGGCTGAAGTGTTCTTGGGGGTCTGATCGGCCGTCGTAGGACTTGATGGCGTTCCCCCTGTACTTCTCCGGGATGGGGGCCGAGAGGACCCTGTTGGTGAAAGGGGTCCTGGTCCTGACCTGGATGATGGGGTCACCTCGCCCCTCGGCCAGTTCCCTCTCCAAGGCGCTAACCTTATTCATGAGCGCGTTGAGGCCGGGGTCGTTGGAGGCGTCGGCCGTAGGGATGTTGGCCGACTTCTTGGCCTCCATCTGAGCCAGCCTTCTCTCCAGCTGGGCGATGACCTCGTCCCGGGGGTCCCTGGCGACCGCAGCGGCGCCCGGCTGGTTCCTCATGCGCTCGCCGTGAGCCGCATTGATCTGGTGGCGCACGTCGTCTTCGTGCAGCTTTCCCTTGCCCTTGTCCGGGCGGGGCTGGTCCGCTGTCCGGGACACCGACCCCAAGCTTTCCCTCGGCGAGCCAGGACGAGGTTCACCAATCCGTCCCGCCATCCTCTCCGAAACCGGACGACGGCGCGTGTCACCTAGCCTGTTGAAGGCAGAGGCTTTTCCACGCGCTGGGGTCTGCCCGGGCCGAAGAGGGGAAGCAAGGTGGGAGTGGGACGACGCCGTGTCCTAGGCCACTACCCCCCCATCGTTGCCTATCTGGTCGGCCAACGGTTGGGGCTGAGGAGGTTGAGTGACGTTCCCCCCGGTCCTTGGCAAGAGTGCGCTGAGGACGGTGGGGTTCTGAGCCAGGCTGGCGATGATGACCGACAGCGCGGCCTGGACCTGTGGATCCACGGACGGAGAGGCCGCGGCCATAGGCTGGGCCGGGGCGTGATCCGTCTTCTCAGCTCGTTTCTTGTCCAGGCCGAGGCGGGCATCAGGGGCTCCGCCGTTGAGTTGCTTGCGGAGGTCCGTTGTGAGGTTGAAGGCCTCCTGGAAGAGGTCCCCTCCGCCGGCCTGGTCGGCCGTGGCGTCCTCATCGTGCTCCCTGGGCTCTTGGTCCTCAGGGATGGCCTTGCTGACGAGGTTGCGGTTTGATTTAGTTCTTCCCATGATCAGTGGTTAGCCGTGCTTGGTAGCGACGAAGGATGCTAACTTGATTGTTCTAGCTCTCAACGAGAGCACCAAATGATAGAGTATATCTAGAGAGAAGTGAGAGCTAGAGAGAGAAGTGCAATAATATGCTTCAATAGAATGAATTTGTAACCCCTATAACTACTCCCAAGGGGAGTATTTATAGAGAAAATACGGGCTGGGCTCCCAAGCCTTGGGCTTGGGAGGCCCATTTACAACTGGACCGCTACTGGGCCGAATACAAAGCCACTAATGGGCTGTACAAATGAATAAGTGTAAAATCCGGTTCTGTGAGGTCTTCGTGGTCGACGAGGGCGTGGCCGACGAGGGCACGGCCGACGAGGGTGCGGCCGACGAGGGCACCCGGGCTCCTTGGGCTCAGGACCATAATCTGAGTTGACACCTTTTCGGCTGACGGGGGTCCCTTGGCCGACGAGGGCGCCACTCAGTGTCTGTGCTTTCTGTTCTTCCGAGTATGTGGGTCCGGGGGCTCAGACCCATATACTCCATCAATAATATAATATAATATAATATAATATAATATAATATAATATAATATAATATAATATAATATAATATAATATAATATAATATAATATAATATAATATAATATAATATAATATAATATAATATAATATAATATAATATAATATAATATAATATAATATAATATAATATAATATAATATAATATAATATAATATAATATAATATAATATAATATAATATAATATAATATAATATAATATAATATAATATAATATAATATAATATAATATAATATAATATAATATAATATAATATAATATAATATAATATAATATAATATAATATACACACAACATAGTGCATTGATTTCAAAAAATCCACAACATTCTAGTACGCGATTAGAAATAAAAAACCATAAAATTAACATTTTAGTTGGAAATAACTGTAATAGATAAATATGCAAACATGAACATCGTCATAATTGACTAATCAGCGTGAAAATATCTAATGTCTGTTAGCCCATATTAAGGATGCTATATTGTTGCGAAGTTCCTTCATCTCACTGCAACTTTGTGTTTGTGAACCGGTGGTACTTGAAGTTGAGCTCTGAATATCAACAAGATCATCATGTGGTATGAAGTCTGGATGGCGCTCGAGAACCTCAAAAATCAAGTCATCGCTAGAGAATTTGCGAATATAATTGTGCAAAGCAAATGTTGCCATAATAACGTCTATCTGCGTTTTAACGCTAAACATTCTTGATAAAATTTTCCACCTCTTTTTCAAAACACCAAAAGAACGCTCTATGCAACTACGAAGAGATGAGTGTGAGCGATTGAAAGCTTCTTGAGCATTTGTTGGTGCTTCATTTTCAAATTGTTCCAAGTGGTATCGTAGCTTGGGATAAGGAACGAGATAACCTTTTCGATCTGGATAGCCTTTATCCACCAAATAATATTGACCTACATAAATTTTACAAATATGATAAAAATTATGTATATGTATCTAACAAATTGACAATAAAACATACCTTCAGGTGGATGTGGAAAGTTCAATGAGGGTGTCTCAATAGCATGAAGGAATACACGTAGGGGTGGACTCGGGTCCGGGCCGGGTCCGGGTCGGGCCTAGGTCCGGGTCGGGCCTAGGCCCGGGCGGGTCGGCGGGTCAGAAATGGTGGACCCGGGACCGGCCCGGGTAACCACAGGGTCCGGGCCGGGTCCGGGCCGGGCCGGGCCCATTATAATTTTTTTTTTTGTTTTCCTCTTCCTAATTAACCCCCCTCCCACCCCCAACCCCCAAACCACCCCAAATGGCCCAAAATACCCAGCCCAACCCAAAAATTTAAAAAAAATTGAAAAAAAAAATTGTTTTTGGCCCGAACCGGGCCCGGGCCCGGCCGGGTCGGGCCTTGTTTTGGGTGACCCGAGCCCGGACCGGAAAACCCACGGACCGGGCCTACCCGGACCGGTCACTGACCGGGCCACCGGGTCGGGCCGGGCCGGAACAGTACCGGTCCCGGGCCGGTTCCGGGTCGGGCCACCCGACCCGAGTCCATACCTAAATACACGTGTATCATGGGTCGATCCCTCCCACCCTACTAATAGAAATGTAAAACACATGGTGAAATCACACACAGCCATAACATTAAAGGTTGGGACACCTTTTCTTCCTCTATAACGAAGTTGTTCCTTTATTGGGATGCACGCTGCTATGTGTGTTCCATCAATACACCCGATGCAATCCTTGAAATAAGGCATATATCTTTTATCCTTTGAGATATGATAAGGGATATACGGAAAGGCCCGATCAGTTGGTGCAATCATATCACGTGCAAGTCCCTTGTATCCCTTACTCCTACCCGTGATGGATTCTAAGACATCGTGAAATGCTCGACTTACCGTTTCTCCAGATCTTTGGAACCTCTCAGACACATCCCGGTTTGAGAGCCCCAAAGCTAAAGTGTATATAAATATACCTACTTTTTCTTCAATTGTAATTTTGTCACTTGATGTTAAACCATATTTTAATTGCAAATCCTTACATAGGCGTGCAAATAAATTGGGAGACATCCTAAAGGCATTAACACAACGAATAAGATGACCATTTAACACCTCTTGCATCCAAGCCGCCCCGCTTAAAGCTGATGTCATGCAAGGCTCCTTATACATATGCTTGTAATAATGGGAAGCAATAATAGCATTTATATCATGAATAGTAATTCCAACCATAATAAGAAGCATACTCATCATCGTCATCATGGCTCATTATATCCCTATAAATGAATAAATAAATAAATAAATAAATAAATGTATATAATAATAATATAAGGATACTACTCTTAGAAAAACAAATCCCCTGAATCTCAACATATAAAAACTAAAAATCAAACATCCATTCTAAATAAATGAATTTGTATCCTAAATGTTGCTAATGACATAACATTCTAAATGTGTATGTCGAAATAGCATACTAAATGTACTTAAAATATTCCTTTTGCGTGCATAAACTTCAACCAGTTGAGCCTTTCATCGTCATCTTTAAAATTCATGAAGAATTGTCTTCGACTAGGACTGTCAAGAACACAAATGCTGTGAAACCATAAGTCACCATTCCTGACCAGCCAACCATTCTCAGCCATTCTGGTCATAATTACCATGACATCACCAACACTAACACAATCATCAGCAACTTTCTCCTTTTTAGTCAAGAGATGCTCAATTGCTTGAAGACATGTATTCCCCCTCTCTAAATTTTCACTTAGTTTCACTGATCCCTTAGACTGTCTTAGTTTACGCTTCTTACTAGTGGCAACGGTCCCTGCATCTTCAACAGTGGTAATTGTAGGAGCAGAAGGCATGTTCCCACTAGCCTCTTGCATAAAATCTTGAAAAAAGTTATCCAGATCTGGTTCAGCATTATATCTGTTAAATACCTCGTAAGTATCATTGTTATCCTCCAAGTTGACATTGTCTTCGTGATTTCCTTGATTGCTATTCTCCAAAATTGTAGCCGTTGGAGCCACGCATTCTACTCCAGTGGCTACTGAGTCCCCAAATATTTGATCCCATTGCTCTTCAATATGCGGCAAAACTCCTTTATGCCTGAACTTCTTAACTTCTGATTTTTCCTGGACAATTTTTTTTAAAACTCAAATTTTCTAGTATGTTGAAATTCTAAGGTAATAAATTGTACAAACTATCATACATACCTTAATTTTTTTACCCCACCATTCATCTGAACAATCCAGCGTGACTTTTAAGAGTTGTACCTTGACCCAAGTAATCAAACATTACTTATTTTAGGTTTCAACTATAAACTACAGGATATAGACACACATTAAAGCCGAGTCAACATTTTTCTTGCAATAATCATAATCACTCATACATCAATTAGTCCTATATATTTACACAATTAATTAAACAATATACATAGATGTTGTTTCAAATCCAAAATGAAACTATAAGGTTCTCAGTAAAATAAAGACTTGCAAAACTTTAGCAATTGTATTCAATTATCTGATTGGCATGAGATAAATTGGATACTTAACACACCTTTTCATATATTCATACATAAATGATGAAACACACGTATACATAAAAGATATAAATCAAAATAGCTTCTCTGATTTATCATAAATAGACAACAAGAATGCTATATAGTTTAAGTGATTGTATTTTGATTTATCCTAAACAATACTACATAACTACCAAAGCAAGTGTGGTGGTAATGAACAAATATTGAAAACAAAATGAAACAACATAAAAGCCACAAACGTGTGCACTACATATGAAGATTATCATAGTGGCAGGCTTTAAAGTGCAAAAGAATAAAATCTGCGGACTTTAAAAAATACTCCATATTTGAAGACAAGATTAAAGCAACTTAATTATAAATCAAGGCTCCAACCGATGCAGATAAGAGTGAACAAAAAGACACTTAAATATGCAAGAACAAATACTAATCTAATACGCAGTATGAATAACCACACACAGAATAGCATGCTAGGAACTTGAAATTGTATATGTACCAAACGATGCTGTGAACAAATACAGATGAAGCAAAACTGAAAAAATATATGAATTGTGATAAGATGCACACAGAATTTAAATATAGAAAACATCTTAAATAGAAGAAGGAAGAAGAAACATGAGAAGAAAAAAGAAGAAGAAGAAACCTGAGAAGGAGAATCGGCGAGAAGGATGAACCATACCTCACAGCAGTGAATCAAGGTGAAGAATTTTGGTGTTGAAGGAATGTTTAACGCAGGAGAAGAATCCGCACTGTTTGCCGCGAAGAAAGCCGTATATATACGTGCGCAGGGTAGTTTAGGGATCGGGAATGTATGATACAATCGGCTGGAGGTAAACGCTTGGTCCAATAACGTTTTAATTCAGCCCACTTTTTCCACCTTCAGCTCACTTTAGACTTTTACCCAAACAGATCTACTTAAATAATTATTAGCTGAATTTAATAAATTTCAGCCCATTATGGGCTGAACTGGCACACCAAACATACCCTTAATGTGATTTCTTTCAAAAAATAAATAGGCCTTTGTTTATAAGTATTATTACTAGAATAAATACAAGAAATAAAAATATGACATCTTTTGATCGACTTTTTCCTAAAATGTAATTAATCAATCAAAATAAATGCGACCTTTATCTAGCTAATACTAGTACTACATTTATTATTTCAATACTATTACATCCATTGTTGTTAAGAATTAATCAATGTCCGGTTCATATACCATGCGACCCTCCCACGGTGTGCATGGTATTCCATCCCATGGGCCTTGTTATTTTTACTCCTCTTTTTCTTAAAAATGGTAATATTGTTTTTATTTTTGATCCGATTTTTATAAAATTTATATCAAAATTTTTATTTCTCATGATCTTTCAAATGAGACCAATATTGCCTATGTAATTTTAACATATTATCGAACTATATATCCCAGTAGCAGAATGATGTAACCCGTGTATAAAAAAATGTAACTCACGTTAAAAAGAAATGTTACTACTAGCAAGTCGAAATGTAACTTGTTTAAAACATTGATTTAAATAAGATCAATGTTTTAAACGAGTCAATTTTTTTAATTACTTTACCTAAACAGTGAATATGTTTTGTTTTTAATATTAAGACCATAAAATGTTTTAAAGTCGTTTTTTCCCCTAGCAATCATTTTTTGAAAAAAAAAATGATTTAAAAACAGTTTTTTTTTGTTTTAATAAAAGGGGTTTATTTTTTGATGTAACAAGTGTTATGAAAAATCTAACTTGTGTTGTTAGAAAATCTAACTTATTGTATGCAAAATATAATACTCCGTATGTTTTGTTTTTAATATCAGATCTATAAAAATGTTTTTTTATAAAAATAATTTTTCTTTGAATAGCAGCGCTAATTGTGTTGTGTAACTCGCATTATATTGTCATGTAACTCGCATTATGGGAAATGTAAATTACATGTAAGCGAGATGTAACTTGGAGAAAGTTGACATGTAACTCGCGAATAACAAGATGTAACTCTGCATGTAAAGATATGTAACTTACATTATTGATCATTGTAACTCAAGCCCATTCGAAATTTAACTTGTTGGAAAATTGAACAATTTTTTTGTGTGTGTTTGATAATTATATATATATCATAAACATTGATTTCAATGTAAACAATGAAAAATTGATCCTAATAGCTTAATTACTTTTTTTAAATAGTGAATATGTTTTACTTTTAATATTAGGGCTATAAAAATGATATAGCAGGAGTTTATTCCGTGGTGTAACTCACATACATTAAGATGTAATTCGCGTATATTAAGATGTAACTCGTGCACATTAAGATGTAACTTGCACAGAAGAAGATGCAACTTCATGATATATTATAAATGTAACTTCAAGAATCAAAATAAATAAGTGGTACATCATTCATTTTTATTGAGAAGTTGGAATACACGTGTTTGCTTCAACTGGGAGTGCTAGATCATTCATTTTAAAAATTGGAGAAGATCAAATCAAATTTTAGCAATAATATATCAAAGTCGATCACGTATGAGAATTCTCAGGTGATCGAAGTGCTGATCAAAGTGGGCGGTTGTACGTGAAACTAGTTTAGTAGGATGGTTGGGCGAAGAAAAAAGAGGCCGTTTTAATTAAGATGCTGCCATTTTGGGATCGGCACACCATGTGCAAGGTGGGCCGATCCCACAGTATAATTTATATATATAGCCACCTTCCGATGGCCGCCGCCACCATCATTTCTTAGGCATGGACCCGATCAGGTTCCGGTCCCGGAAAAAATTTGTTGAAGACCTGGCCTGACCCAAGTATTAAGGCTCCGGGTACTCGGCCGGTCCGGTATCTGGTTCATTCCCGGACCTTTGCTTTATTTATTTATTTAGTACTACATATAGAAAAGAAATAACTAGTTATGTCTCTTATTGAACCCGTTTCCAGCGGCTATTATGAACTGCCCAAAGCTGAAACCAAAAAGGAAAAAATGAATGTTGGACCAAAAAATGGGATCGGGACCCGAAAATTCAGACTCGGTCTAGTCATAACAGCATCGGATTCAGTTCTGGACCGGGTCCATGCTTATCGCCACCACAACCTCCAACAATGATCATGAAATCATTAATCCAAATCTGATAGTGACTAGCTCGTGAGTGACTGCGCCGACAATTACTACAACATTGTGCCGATAGTGATTGAGCAGGAGTCATTGTGGTAGAATAGGTTTGACGAATTGGTGATTCTGGCATATATTGAGTTCTAGTGATTGTGACTAATTTTCGATTCATTCGACCTAAAGTTTGAGTAAAGTGGTTGAAGTTCGAGTGATGGCGGCTAGAGTTTCGATCAGTGTTGCGACAACGACTAACGAGTTTTTCACTAACAAACTAATTGGTTAAAGTTTGGACTAAAGTATCTTTCAATAATGGCATGGATGGAGAAAGGGGGAGGTTGGCGGGGGCCTCAGCCTCCCGAAGAAAAAAATTGGGATGTATATATATATAAGCATAAATATTTATAAATAATAAAATATATAATGAAATTTTAAGTTTAGGCCCTTGAATATAAATTGAGGTAATTACCTAAATGGGAGTAAATGCATCTTTAATTGCTAAAATAGGACTAAAGTTTAAAAATTCCCAAAATAAGAGTTATTATTTGTAATTGGACAAAAACACCTCTGAAGCTTGGAAATCCTACTGCCACCGACCACAACGCTGAACCACCGCAGGTCGCCGGTCGCCGGACGTCTCTGCCACCTCAAAAACAGCCGCCGTTGTAGATCTGACCGACGCCGATGTAGATCCAGTCACCGTCGCAGCTAATCTGGAATCTCCCACTGCAAATCTGGTCTTTATCGTTTCAGATCTGGCCTTTCCCGGCACGAATGTCAACATTTTTATCAAAATGCCAAAATGAATCAGGAATGCCATTTTAATGGCATTTTCAAAGGAAAATGAAAAATTTTTGTAAAATAAGAATGACATTTTTATGGCATTTTCAAAGGAAAATACAATTTTTTTGTGAAATAAGAATGCCATTTTGATGGCATTTTCAGTGTTTTTAGTTTCAATTACCATTTGTAACTTAATAGAAGAGAGGAAGAAGGACGGGAAGAATAATCAGAGAAGAAGCAGATCTACGCTGAAGAAAACCTGACGGCGACGGACTTCACCATAGCGGCGGCGGACTTCACCATAGCAGCGGCGATGGCCATATATGTCTGGAAGGAGAAGAAATTGTGTTGCTCTTGTGCGAATGGAAGGAGAAGCGATATCTAGGGAAGCGAGAAGATGTTGCGTACCTGGAGAGAAGAAATTAAAGATGCCCAGGGGGAGTTGATCGAGGAAGGATGTTGCGTACAGGGAGAGAAAAAATAGGGGTAAATGGGTAATCCAGTCCCATTTAGGGGAAAAATATATGTTTAGTCCTATTTAAGAGATTCATAAAAAATTTAGTCCCTTTTAGGGTAATAAATCATATAAATTTCTTACTTCTCAGCCCTCCTAACTTACTTTTTTTTGCTCCGCCATCGGACGTTGGTTAGTAAAATTGGGACGAAATCATTAACAGTTCTTTGATAGTAACTATAGAAATTGGTCACTATCATTGATAACAGCGACAATGATAGTGGTGGTGGCGACACCAACAAGCAAGTCACAAGGGCGGTGAGTGGGGGCAGGCGGGTGCTGCGCACGGGACGACATTAATTACTTTTTATTATTGAAATTTATTTTTAAAATAATAAAAATTATACTCGTAATTAAGGTAATGAATGATGTTTGGGGAATTGAAAATTGGAGTGGTGCCATTTTTCTAAATAAATACGGAGTAGTCGTTACGTGCAAACGCATATCGGACAAAATTCCTGCCGGAATTTTACACCGCCGAATAATATGTGTAATGACAAAAGTAGATATGATGCGTTAGGATCAAAAGGTTGAGTCGTTGGAGAATAAAAGGGCAGTGTGGTCATTCGACCTGGCACGTGAGATGCAGCACGTATGGCGCCGTTAGTTACAGAAATCTGTATCATATCTTTCTCTCACTATATCTTCTCTCATCCTCTCCAGCGTGCTGCGAGCAACTTTCTACTGCACTCTTCTCTCTCAGCTCGTAAGCTTTCTTATTCACTCAACAATACGAAAATGCAAAAATATCTATACTGCAAGTCCGTATGTTATTACTCATAAAATCATTCCTCCTGATCGATTTATCGCCTTCTTCAGTTTATAGCGGCCGTTTTGTCTCGTTCACTTTCCAAGCTTCCTTTGATCGGCGGCATTACCTCAGGACGCAGCGCAGAAACCCGGCCAGTTCAAGCGGAATCTCACAGGTCGATCTGAAGTCGGTACGTACTGCTTCGTCTTCTCTTACTCTCTCTCTCTCACTCACTATGTCTCTGTTTTGGTGTTTTTATCATTCTCCGATCGAGAAGAAGATGTTCGATGTTCTTGGAGGTGGTGTTCTCCAGTTCATCGTCAGGCTCAGCTCCGGCGTACGGCTCTTTGTTCTTCAGTATTATGGTTTTAGTTGTTTTTTTGTTTATATCCTTCACCGAAAAGAAAGGTCTGATGTTCACGGAGATGACGCTCTCCGGCGGATGGCCTGGCCAATCTCAGGTCCGGCAGTTTGATTCAGATTGCTACAAAGGAGATACACCGAAATTTCATTTTCTGGAAATTCTCTGCATTTCCATTTTTTGTTTTTCCTGTCATTTTTTCCTTCTCGTGTTTGCTTGTGCTGGTACGTGCCTGTACGCATATGTTCAGATGGACATTTCCACTTTTGCCTAAACCCTAACTGCAGTCTGCGAATTTCTGATGTGAGCAGCAAATTTGTTTCTATCGCATGCATCAGAATGTGCAGAAATGCCGGATGATGACTTTTACAACTTTTTTCAGTATGATGTATACGTATCAATGATTCAATCGGTCAATCCTATTCAAACTTCAGTTTATCTTGATTTTGTTGGTTTATTTTAATTCGCAGACCAATACTATGGAAACTTACTACAGGAAAAGATCCAGAATGGCTACTTCAACCCTCTCCGTAAGCTTTCTTTCATTTTTAAACAAATAGAGTACTTCGTAGTAGTATTTCTTTTATTTATTACTCCCTATGCATTAATGCATCTGCCTTGCATATAAACTTTTTCCCTGATGCCAAAATGAAATTGTCCTTCGTTGAGACCTTATTTCCTCATTCATATTTTGTCTTCATTGTGATGAATTTGAAAAATTTAATTGCTTCACGCGCCTATAACTATTGCCAAGTTAATTTTTACGGGCCTATAACATTGTCACGTTAATTTTCACGCGCTCATTCATGCAGCTTTATTAGTTTTTCTTTAAAAAGTTGTAGGTCTTCTTAGGTCTTTAGATGCATAAAGTATGGACGCCAAGAAAGCAAAATCAAATCTTTATCTGAAAATGCTATTTGTCCCCTTTTTATGACAGCATGATTGTTAAATAAAAACTATTCGTATTAGGATTCGCAAAAAATCTGCTTGAAATTGTATATTCTACGGAGTATACTTTTCTGCCTTTCCAGGAACACTTCTTGCTTTCTTTAACTACGGAGATTTTTTTTATAGTATTAGTATGTTACATACTTACATACTCGTAAATGGTAATCCGCTAAAATATATTAATCATTCTGGTGATCATACATAAGACCCTGTAGTGGCGCCACTAATCTGTGTATCTTTTACGTACCGTTGCAGGTTATGGATTATCAGGACAGCAGCGTGGCAGGGGCACTCGCACCAATTATGCCATCTAGACACTCTCCTATGCCGACTACACCCAACAAGTGTACCGTGCAATGCAGTAGTGGTAGTATTTCTGTTATATGTTCATTTAGCGTTATTTGAATCATATGCTTTGGTGATCCCTTATCACTCTTACACTAGATTACGAAATCTTTACCATTTTTTGCGTTTTATCAAGCAAATATGTGCAAATATGTGAATTTTCTCTTTAATTTCTGCAAAAAATTGGACTAACGCTAGCTAGCTTCAGAAATGAATGTGTGATGTAGTCTTTGTCCTTTCACATAATTTGATCAGCAGAGCATGAACATCTGGAATGCAATTTCAAAATTGAAGTGGGATCAATATACGAGGTTGATCACATCTATCTTCCTCCAAGAACGCCAGTTCAACTCAGGGCCATGAGAGTTGTTATGGTAAACAAATGTTGAGATGTACCTGGAATGTGGAACTAAATAATTGGTTTTGTAAATTATTTAATAAACACATCCAATATTTTTGAATTCTTATTAGGTGAGTGAGAAAACAGCCTTGAATGTGGCAGTAAGGTATCCAAGTTTGGAGTCACTTCATATATATTTCTCTAATAGCATGAGAGAAATGTATCCAGCTTTGGATGAGAAGTTTGTAATGGGGACTGCTCTGGCTGATAAAGTACTTCTCAGGCAAGTTCCAACTCAAGAGTTTGCAGAAAAGAAGCATCTTGAAAGCTTCTGGGTGGTGGATTCAATTTCTGCTTCAATAGATCAGCATCACCTTTCTCAGGATGATGATTCTACTTCCAGCAAGGGTGTGTGCTTGTCAGAACTCAAAGTTAATGGGATGGTTCGTTGGGGAGTGCGTCGCCAAGTCAGGTTTCTAAGGAGGCATGAAGACAATCACATCAACAATGCAAAGTCATCTACTTCCAGCATTATCAAAGATGATGGTGAAGATGATGATGAAGTGCCACCTGCAATAGATGTTGAAAAGCAAGAGGAAGATGATGATGAAGAAAATGAGCAAGAGGAATTCAAAGAGTTTCCAGAGAGCGACAAGGACCTCAAGAGAAAGAGGTATAGTTTCAGACACACAGCCATTAGGAAGGCCAAAAAAGTAAAGCGTGAGAAGCAGCAAAAGCTGAGGAACAACAACATGAAGAAGAGAAACAAATGCAAGATGCTAGTACAATTCAAGAACCCCAAAGATCGATGGTCTGAAGAAAGGTATGTGCCTAAAATTTAGTCTTTTGCACCTAAGTTTTAAAAATATTTTTTAAAATTAGTGTACACTATGTGAATCAATTGGAAGGTATAAAATGGCAGAGAAGAACCTTCTGGAGGTGATGAGGGGGAAAGAAGCAACAGCAACCAACCCAATCCTTCGGCCAGAACTAAGAACAGAAGCCAGAAAGCGCATTGGGGATACCGGATTGCTAGACCACCTCCTTAAGCACATGGCAGGTAAGGTTGCACCGGGTGGGACCGAGCGGTTCCGTAGAAGGCACAATGCAGATGGAGCCATGGAGTATTGGTTGGAGAGTGCTGATTTGGTCAATGTGAGGAAGGAAGCTGGCGTGAGTGATCCTTATTGGATCCCACCCCCTGGTTGGAAGCCCGGCGATTGCCTCACACCTGATCCAATCTCTGCTCATGAGTTAAAATTCTTGAAAAATGAGATTTTCACTCTGAGAAGGTTAGGCTTAACACACAAACACACATAACGTTTTTATATTGTCAATTGTCATTAAAGTTAATGATGACATTATTCATTATTATCATTCATAGAGACTTGGATGAGATGGCACTATCCAAGAAACACATGGAAGAAGATGTTGAGAGGCTGAGAAGGTGAGATGAAGAAATGAAAATACGCATTCCATATTTATCACCTTGTATGTCCAATAATTGGAGATCCTTATGAAGTAATTAATTTCATAATCCTTGTTTGCTTGAACAGGGAGATTGAGGATTTGCATGTGAAGGTGAAGCAACAGGAAACACCAGCTACTGTCATTTCAAAAGAAATTGACTGTGAGATTCCACCAGTTCCATTGGTAATTGAATGCTAGAATAGGAAGCTAGCTTATACGTCATTAATTGATTAATTTGATCCTTCATCACACTCTTTAAGCTATATTTTTGCATGTTGTTTCATTAATTGCAGAATGCGTACAAAGAACAATTACAGGTCATCACCTCAGCGTTTTTGGCAAAAATGGAGGTACTTCCGGTTCCACACTTGATAACTTGATATCTCCAGATATTATTATGTTCATTAAATGCAATCAATTCTTGAATATTAACATGTTGGGTTTCCATTCATGCATACCCCAGATTTTTATAGTTCGATTTCACTACCATGTTATTGTGCTCTTGCTTTATTCTTTTACAGCTGATGTGGATGTAAAATATCACAGTTTTTTGTTTTTAGTGCCATTAAAAGCCCAAATGCGCAATTAATGCTGATTGGGTGAATGCAGGAACAAATGGAGAACTTTGTCCATAAATTGGAAGAAAAAGAAAGGGTTTTCTCCACACTAGCGGAGGCAACATCAGCTACATTAACTAGTGAGAAAAGGCAAGCAGAGGAAGGAAGGAAGAAAGAGTTGGAAGGGCGGGCAAGTGTACTAACCGCAGTTGAAGAAAAAGCAGCAAAGATACAGAGGTTAAAGAGCGGCTTCAGGATTTGCAAACCACAGGGAACCTTCCTTTGGCCCACCAATTGCACCCCTGACAACAACAACATGTCATCTCCTAAGGTTGTTATCCAGGTAGAGGATCTCTTCATGGTTCCAACCCCACCCTCTGTCTCTTCCTCTAGTGTCACATCAGCTCCTCCCCTACATCTCGGTAACAGTTACTTTCCATCATCCCCTGTTTCCCCTGTTAAGCCTGTGCCGGAAAGACCCCCTGCCGTTAAGGTCACAGTCTCCTCCGTCTCAAATGCCTGCAGCAGCTATACTCCTATGAACAACAACACTAATCTGATCTACCTTAATGATGACCCCTTCAACGGCGACAGACTATGTGGGACCCTGTCTTCAAGACAAACTGTCCTCTCCTCCACTGATATGATGCCAAGTGTGAGTTATTTTCAAAAAATTTCACGTCTTCAATTTCACTCGGTATGTGAAGGGTTTTTTGGATCCTGGGAAATGCTAGATGATAGAAAATATAGACAATAGGAGGAGATTTGATCATTTGAAATCAAAGAATTGTAGAGATGATAAAAGATGGGTTCAAATGCAAACAGATTTTCAGACAATTTTTCAAGCTCATTTATTTATAGGTTTTGGTTATATAAAAACTAAAAAACTAGTGGAAAATCAATTTATTTTTAAATTGTATTTGATTTTCCACACTAACTTTCAAGGTAAAATCAAACTTAAATGTTCCTTTAGATCAATAGGGAAGAACTAGTTGCCTTAATTTTCTCATTTCCCCCTAAATTTTATACATTGTAAACACGGCCTAGATTAAGAAAACACTTGATTAATTGATTCTACAACTTCGCAGATATTTCCATCTTCAAAGCATTTGGTGATGAGTGATAGCGCAAGTAAAGGCAATACTGGCAGCACCTGCGCAAATGAACCAATCAAATCCGCATCCACATCGTCCATGCCAAGAGAAGAAGGAACCTGGCTGGCTTTGGCTACTCCTAACACTATTGCCTCGGGCGAGTCTTGCCAGTTGGCCGGATGAAGTCTTGAAGTTATCCATATATATAGACTATAGAGAGAGACCTACACGTAAGCGCAGAAGGGCAGTGTTGGCTTAAAGAAATCTTGGTTCCTTTTGTTATAAAACGCATGGGGCAGAGGATTAAAACCATTAGATTCTGGATTTAACATTTTGTCTGCTTTGATTCTAAAAAGAGAGTATGACTTTGCCTAAGCGTTTTCAACAGCATAATTTGTGCATTTTTGCTTATCTATTACTTGATGGTTTTTGAAGATAACTTTTTAGATACATCTAATTACCCTATACCCTACTTTCGTTAGAGCAAAGCATAGCATCAAGGAGCGCATAGGAATTTATTCATAGCAATTTATTCATAGTGCCATAGTTGTCAGAATGTTGTCCAAGCGTCAACTAGATGATGTTTAGGCTTTTTGGATACCTTGCCTAAAGAGCACCAAACATTGAATGGTGTCGTTTAGAGGTCAACTAGGAATTTATAGAGCGTGCAAGATAAACTTTTTGAAAATTCTATTGATCCGACAACCCAATCCACCATGATTGCATTTCTTTGTTTGTTATAGCTTAATGTATTAAAAATTGATATGAGATTCTTATTGAGTTAAAATGATGAAATTGTCATTCAAGTACACCATTTAGCATGGTATTGATACAATATATAGTCCCTTTGTTCTGCAATTAAGTTCCTACTAGTTTGACTTCACGGGTTTTTTGGAAATAGTTTTTTTTCTACTTTCTAAGCATGCCCTTCCACCAAAGTATGAAAGAGAAAATTAATAATTATTGATGTACTTTTCATAGGAGTAAAAGAGCATTTTACCACTCAATGAGCTAATTTATATGGCTGCACTAAATGAGCATATTCTCCAGGTTCCTGATGGTTAAACTCCATTATTCTGTTTTTCCATTGAATGAGCTCATTTATATGGCTGCACATAGGCATGAAATCAATCAATTTACCTTAAACAAGACCTTACAGATATTAGAAATTCTGAAAGCGTTACTCATAAAGTTTGGTCATCTGAGAGTAAGAAGAAGACAATGTCGCAAGAAAAATCCATCAAAGGAAGAGGGTGATGCTGTGTGGCTACAGAATGTCACAAGAGAAGACTTCCAATGGCATAACTTACACTCGCATAGGCCCCTTGGCCTCCTCCTGAAGTGTGTACTCTTTCTTCATTTTTTCCAAGACGGCGTCGTTTGTGCTGCATGGAGAGAATATCTATAAGTCACACATCTATAATTATAATCTCTTGCCCCTTTTGGTCCTTCAGGTTACTTATTCGACCAACTTTGTTAAAAAGAAAAAGAAAAAAACTCCACTTATATATTAGTCGGATACGTGGATTAGGACTGAAACTGGAAATAACTTCATCTAAAAATGGAAAAAGAAAGTATGATAAAAAATGAACATGTCATAATGGTCGAGAGACCTAAAGTGGAACATTTTCATAAGTTATATCAAGTCTAACTTAATGAATGCCAATCAAATAAATCTTGTCAAAGAAAACTTTCTATTGGCAACGACATATGTTATGTCCAAAATGCAGTATAAGTTAAAGGTTTTTTGTACATTTATGTGGAAGCAAAGGTGGGACCTCAAGTCTACTCCCTCTATCCCAAAAAGCCATGTTTAAAAAAACTCCCAAAAAAAGTAATCCGGTTAGAAGTCAACTTTGCTTCAAGTAAACAAAACTGGTAAAGCCAAGCTGCAGGAGTTTTAGTTAATTACTCCAAAAGAGTCTGGGAAATAACTTTTAGGTTTAATTGACTATTCACCTTTTTAAAAAACTTATATATTGATTAACTAAAAATAAAAAGCTGTCCTTAGGCATGAGGCATGACACTTTTTATGGGATGGAGTATTAAAAATAATATTTGAAGGGGGATATAATGTTGTTCAAAGACAAATTATAGACACGAGTCTTTATACAAATGGTGCAACCCAAACCACAGGGGAGGGGGGCTCCATCCCCTGTTGTGGTGGTAGAGAATATATAAATTGAGGTTTGTAAGCTCAAGATGCAAGTGTTAGCCAGTACATTTCATGCATACTAGGTGTCTTTCTAGTTTGGTATCAACAGGTTGAAATACGTAGGCCATGTACGCAATAACAGAAAAGACGCATATGTATGTAAAATCAGCCTATTTTTAAGGCTAACTGAACCTCAAAGGTTTTGCAAGGAAACATAACCAATTGAGATTGGACAATAATATAACCATACTCACAACTGATGAAGGCAGTTATTTAATTCTTTAGCCTGTTTGCGGCATTTCCAAACCACAGATAGTGTTTTACCAATTGCACATTCAGCATACTTTGCAGCATATTCATCACATTCTTTTAGCGCCTTTTGCTTCATTTTGCTACGCAGAGCTGAAATTTTAAAAGAATCACTTACATAAAGGATACAATATTGCTAGCTGACCAAAAATTGAGTGCCAAACAGAAACAAATAACAACAACATCCAAGCCTTAATCCCAAAAGAATTTGGAGTCAGCTAACATGAATCGATCCATGATATCAGTGCTAAAACGAGAAGAAAGACGAGGGAAGAAAAAAGTAAGATAAAATGGATTACAAAATTGCAGACGTTGCTAGGTTGTCCAAGACCAGAAGAACACAGTCTAGCGCCTGCACACAACCAGGTAATTCCTAGGTTATATGAAGGCATGCTAGTCCTGTTCCATTAAAAAAGGTAACTTTGACCAATATACAACATTTAAATTTTGATATCTTGGCATGTTACAGCTATCATACTTGTATACGTATATTTTTCTGTGTGGGACTGTTGGTTGCACCATAATTAAAATATGTAACTTGTGTGTGACCCCTTTTATTGCCTTTTTTGGCATATTGCATTACAAGCTAGCGTTGTTTTATCAAACTGTATCATTCATTTACTTTGGAACGGGGTGTGTGTGTGCATATACAATCATTTTTCAGGCATAAGCAGCCACCTGGCCCATTTAATCTGCTGACTTGCGCGATGTTTACAACAACGGGCATAAGACCAGACCAACACCTGTTTATCTGTTGTCAGAGAATAAGTTACAGGCTTCCAGCATGGTGATTTGCCATAACTTGATACAACAACATCCAAGCCTTATTCCCAAAAGATTTTGAGGTTGGCTATTTCGATTCATGTCATGTGATGTGACTAAGGATGTTTTTACTTGGACTGAAATTTGCTTGTCTGGTCTATTTAAGTCTGGTCCGGTCTGAATTGATCTGGCAAATGTCTAGTCTTTGTGTATTTTACAACTATGGAAGTCTGGTCTGTTAAAGTCGGGGTTGGTCTGGGACTGAAAACAGTCCAAGTAAAAACATCCTAAATTAAGACAATGCCAGATTTTACGAGAACTGACTGCGGGTAAAAAAATGTGTAAACCAGATTACTAGACAATGACATGAACTTTCTTGATTCTGAGTGCATTTTACCCATTAAATTAAATTATTCAGTGCAAGTATTTCAAACTGGATTACTAGACAATGGCATTTGTTTAAATATTCTGACCCATTCAAACAGAACAAAAAATCAAGTGCCTCTATTACAGAGTTACAGAATGTACTGCCAACTTCAGAAACATAACCATTATTTTAAGAGCAAATACGTTTCATCCCCTCTAACCCCTCTGTGCATTAATGCTATCATGCTGCTAGGAAGTTTTTCAATCCCCAAACGAAATTTAACCAAATATAGTAAATCTTAGTCCTGGCACCATTAGTAGACCTAATGGAAGCATGACTAAAATGATATCCAAATTAATTTTAACAGAGGAGGCAAATAATCCATGATGCCAGCTAATTAATAAGCATTCAGACACAGATTCTCCACTATAAAAAAAGCACAATGTTTCGTGACTATAGAGACGATCACCCAGTCTTTAAGCAGGTGCAAATAGCTAACTGTGACTCCAATGGCGGAAAACGTTGGAAGAAAATCCATTCAATTGGGTAATAGCACAGCATAAAAGGGCACCGTAGCAGATTTAGGGATCGGGTGTTTTTTAATATTTGTATGTGCGCATACCTTCTTCAACCTTCTTCTTGACGTGATTTTCTCTTGCTTCTTGTACATAACCCATTAAGCGTCTCTGCAAAAAAAATAACCGCAAGAGGGTTTGAATATTTGAGTGATTAAGAAGTCGGTTCTTCCGAGCAGATGTTTTTACTCGTATGGTTTCAGGCATCAAATCAGACCAGAGAAGTTTGAGATTAAACCAGACTTGAATAGTTATAAAAATATATAGAGACAAACATTATCAGATCATATCAGAGCAGTTGAGATCAGAGCAGTTGAGATCAGACCAGACTAGACCAAACCGACAAATTCGAGTCCAAGTAAAAACATCCCTAGCAATCTAGCATCTCTCGGCTACACGAATTACCAAAACCAACTCTTCTAAGATTTTATGTCCCGGTCTAGTTTGGTGCAGTGGCGGATCCCTTTTGTGCAAAGGTGTTCATGTGAACACCCAAAAAATTAAAAATAAAATGTTAAAATATACATATAGAATTGATGTAATAATTTATATGGTGTATTTTTTGATAATATATCTTGCATTTGATCTTATTTTCCATTTTGTTGTTGTTGAAAAGTAATATATATTCATTTGTTGGATCAAAAAATATTATTTGTTCAACATTTTGACAACAAATTAATTTTGAACACCTAACTTTTGAACGCAAGATCCGCCACTGGTTTGGTGACTTCGATCTAGTTTTTTATGTCTTGTATGGTATGGTATATTTTGAATTGATTTGATCTAGTAGATGTTTAGTCCATGTATACTTAGTAACTACAAAAGTCTGATCTGATCTAGTTTATTAAAACTCGATTTGATCTAGACTTTTTAATGTGGTCTGGTCAGAATAAGAGCAAGTAAAAATATCCTTGTCATTGAAACTTAACAAAATTATTACCCCATTTTCATTCGATATCACCAAATTTGAATTGAGTGTGAAATAAGAAAAATAAAATATGTATAATTGAAGTCCATAGAGAAGAGGTAAATATGTGAATTATAAATTCACTACTTTATGAAGAAAGTGACAAAACTTTTGAGACAAATAAAAACGAAAATTCACAATATCCAATAGAAAGAAAAGAGAGTATAATGACACATTTATCATTAATAACTTCATTGTATTGTATATTTGTCAATATTACTTTTTAAAATATAAATAATTTTATTTAATTAGGGGGTATTATTTACCAATTGATTGTGTCATTTTTTAGAGAAAATGATCAAATAAGACCTCCTACTATTTTTGTATCATCACCTAAACCCTTGTAAACTGTTGCCATGTCACCTTTATTTAAAATAGCAGAGTTGCTTGGTGATATTACAATTTTGAAGAAAAACAAACTTATTGGTGTCATATCTTCTCTGAAGCAGAGTTAGCAATTTTTTGGTTGTTTTGATTAATATTTGGCTTTTTGACCAAATGAATCAATTAATTGGGTGTTTGGTTAGATAGCTTTTTTGTTTGGCTTTTTACCTAAACAGCAAAAATTTTAAAAAGCCATTGAACATGACGTTTTGACATCATCCGTTTTAATCTCTATTCAAATTTCCTAATCTACCCATGCCTTCTGCTGCCTCCCTTTTGTTTTGTTACTTCTTACTCCAATATATAGCAACAACCCTTCTCTTTGATTACCCATGCCTTATGTTGCCTCACTAATGTACAAAATTACTCCAAATTCACGTTGGGAACAATTCATATATACAAATGGGTTGCTACTACTTTTTTATTTATTCCAACTCCTACTAAAATTGGAGTTTTGCTGCTATTTATTCCCAACGTTGTTTTTTAAAATTTTACATTCAGTTATTCACCTTATGACTAATATAAAACAATGTTAGCAAAATGTGTATTACGAATATTAAAGTGGTTAGTAGTAAAATAAATTAATTGATGTCCTTAAAAGTCATTTAACAAGTTATCAGCCGATTGCAAACAACCATTTAACCAAACACTGTTCTATAAACAACTAATACTATCAGCTAATCAAAACAGCCAACGAAATCTGTTGTTACCAAATCAGCCAACAGAATCGACTAACAGCCAACAGCCAATGGCCAATTGCCAAACACCCCCTATATGGCTGGAGACAATGTTTGATGGATTTTATCCGTCTTCTGGATTGAGATAGGGAAATTCTATTTACATCCCCCTATTTACTAAGCACATCCTAAATTGTCGTATGTTAATGGTGAGGTAGAAGCGGTAAGTATTGACCCAGATAAAATTTCCATCTTCATTTGTTGAAATAGGGGTTGATCCTGCCCATATCTGGGTCTATGGACGAGATATACTATATTGGACTTATACACGAGATAAACCGTAAACTAAACATATTTAAAATATGAATTATAACAAAAATATATAATAAAGGTAATAAAATAAGGGAAAAATCAGTTTACTGTTATTTAAATTACATATTTGGGCAAATTTAACAACACAAGTATTACATAAAAAGAAAAAAAAATTACTTAAATCATTTCTCACAGAAAAATGTGAAACAAAATTATCAATACTTGCTTAAAAAGAATAAAAAGCATTAAAAGCTAAAGAGATGTGAAGTCTAAAGAGGCGTGTCTTTTATTGATTCATTACATTGCTTTAAAAACTATAACTAGTCCTACTCAAAATTAATGTATATTCGTTTTTTAAACATGACTTCGTTTAAGACATTTTACTTATGTTCTATATTTTTTCAAATTGTTAACAAAATTTAAACATTAGACCTAATTTATTGAACTTAAAAATAAAAAAAGAAGTCTACTCATATTATACTCACTCCGTCCCTTAAAACTTTGTCATCTTTCCTTTTTGGGACGTCCCAAAAAACTTTATCATTTTCCCTTTTAATCAATTATTTTGTGGTTTCTGTTATTTCTCTCTCCTCTGCACAAACCTCAACCACACAGTTTTTACTTTATTATTCTCCGTGCCGGTCAACTTTGGCAAATTTTAAGGGACAGAGGTAGTAAAATATTTGACAAAGGTGGCGATCCAGAAACTTATGTTGATGACGGCTATTCAAGAGAGGTGTGCTAGAAAATATATTCGCTTTACCTTCAACCCATAAAACGGCGAGTTAATGTGGACAAAGACACAACAAAGTGATATTCAAGCCCCGAATTCCAAAAAAGGACCAAAAGGCCTAAGAAAAAGAGAAAGCACAATGCTCCTCTGCAAATTACAATCGACATGAAAATCGTGTAAAACTACTTCCCCAATACCTACATGAAAACTACATGAAAATCGTGTAAAACTACTTCCCCAATGCCTTCAAATTACAATCCGCACCCATGTCAAATTACAATCTAATACTTCTCTAATACTTACACTTTCCAATAAACTAATTCAAGTCTTTTTTTGAAAGAAACTAATTCAAATCTTTGAAAATAAATCCAATACCAAACATTGACCTTACATAATCCTTGAATCTCCCATAAAATGTCAAATCTAAAAAGTAATTTACCAATTAAGATTCACCCACCTTCCATATTTGGCAACCGCAGAACCTTTGACCACTTTCTCTTGCCACACACAAATTAAAGGAGACTTCAATCCGCATTTAGAATACACAGCTGGTTCATAAGCAAGTGTAGGTACCAGTAAGGGGTGGGAAAATATACCGGCCATACCATACCGAAAAATACCGAATTTATCGAAATTTTCGGTATACCGAAAAGTTCAGTACGGTATGATACCATACCGGGTCACTTCGGTACGGTAAAGGTATGGATTTTTTAGATTTTCGGTATTTCGGTATATACCGAAATACCGTTAATTTTCGGTATGGTACGGTATATACCGAAATACCGATATACCGAAATAGAATTTGTAAATTTTTAGGGCCAAACCCATTAAATGAAATTATTAAAATATCAAGGCCCAAAATTAAAATAACTCATCTTATAATACTACGGCCCTTCTCTAGTTCTCCCAAGTAGAGGCCTAAATCCCTAATCAAATAAATGGGATAATTTGAGTTTGCACCCCATATTTTGGGTGATATTTGACTTTGCACCCCATTTTAAAAATAATGTACGCACCCCATTAGCCCAAAAATTGTGAAGGAGTGGGGTGCAAAGTCAAATAATTTTATAGTGAATTGAGGTGCATACATTAATGATTTTGAAAATATGGTGCAAACTCAAATATCACCCAAAACATGGGGTGCAAAGTCAAATTCTCCCCAAATAAATCAACGTAGAGTCAAGCAGCTTCTCTTCTCTTCAATGAGTGACAGAGCTGTGGACTATTGAGCATTGACGATGGAGATGCGGACGAGTGACGAAGACGCCATTGACGAAGCACGGAGTAGCGGACGACCGTCATTATTTGCTAAAGCTTAACCATCCTGGTAATATGAACAATCTGGTCTATGCTCATTCTATATTTATAAACAAATGATAAAGTATATTGATAAAATATTTATACGGCGGACGACCATCATATTACCAAAGTAGAAAAATCTCTTATTTATACGGAGCTGCAACAATGATTCAAAGATTTGTTATTACAAACATTAGTTATCATTGATTTATGTTGGATAAATATTCTAATTTTCATTATGGATTGTGTTGAGACTTGAGATATTAGCACATAATTTTAGTATTTTCTACTTTGGATTAAATATTGTGTTTTAGTTTTGGTATCGGTTTATGTATTGATGTCGTATGCTACTTTTGACTTGTTAAAATCAGTTTTTTTGGATGTTCGTTAGGCCCCTTAAGCTAATACTTTATACGGAATTGCCAATAAATTTATTTATTTTTTGAATTTTCGGTATAAAACGGTATGGGTTACATACCGTACCGAATTTTCGGTATACCGAAATTCGGTATACCAAAAGTTTCGGTATGGTAACGGTATGACATTTACCAATACCGTTGAAATTTCGGTATACCGTACCGAACCAGCCCTAGGTACCACCTGTGCGGTTGAAGTAAATGAAGCCAATGACATCTTCACTCTTCATTGTTGGTTCATGTTACGAAGAAAAATAAAAATGTAGATGAACCTCATTTCTTACCTAAAGTGAGCATCTACGATGGAAACTGTCACACCCCAGATCGCATCTAGACGCGTGTACAACTGCCGTATGACCAAGTAACGTCACTCGCAAGTCAACGTATCTTAATCATACAAGGCGACCATGAACATAATATATCCATACTCAGTAGTAAACATACACAACAACATCACAGTTTAGGTTAATTGAATAGCGGAAATATTCAATAATCAATCGTGGGCCACACATGGCCAAAACGTAGGCTCGCGGGCCAAAAACAATGTATTAATACAAAAGTATCCATGAGCATAGTTTATCATTTGGAATAGTAGAGGGAGCACGAACCACGTCTTCCTCTGAATTCTCTTCACCCGTGTAAAGGTGT